CACTGCTTATGTTATATAAATGTCTAACTACTATGCTGTACACCTGGAAATAATATAAAATAATACTGAATGTTAACTGTAATTGAAAAACTAAAAAGGCGTGGCGGGGGGAGGTGAAGGGGAATGAGAGGTTCAGATTTCCAGGTATAGAACAAGTAAGTCACGGGGATGTAATGTACAGCATGGGGAATATAGTCAATAATATTGTGATAGCATGGTACGGTGTCAGACTTATGGTGATCACTTGTTTAGGTATATAAACATTGAATAACTATTGTGTACATCTGAAACTAATATAATATTGTATGTTAGGTATATTTTTAAAAAAATCTTAAAAAAAGAAAGTCCTATGTGTTATATTTCTGATTTTTTATGAAACCTCTATGTACAAAGATTTAATATTCTGAAGAGCAGCCTGATGTATAAGTTACATTATTCTGAGGCAGGAAGATGGAGACATACCTAGAGATGACTTTGCTTCTCTCAGGATGAGCTCTACATGTGCTAAGCAGTGAGGCAGCTGTTATGTTCCCATAAACCCGTGCCTTCAACACCACCTTTCACTGAAGGGACACAGACAACCTATCAAAAAGCATCTTCATTCATAGGCTATAAGGGATGTATTAATTTCCTAGCTTCAAACAACAGAAACTATTCTTTCACAGTTCTGGAGGCTAGAAGCCTGAAGTAAAAATGTTAGCAGGGCTGTCATCCCTCTGAAACCTGTAGGGGAATCCTTTCTTACCTCATCCTAGCTTCCAGCAGGTTGCTGGCAGTATGTGGCATTCCTTGGTTTGAGGCTGCACAAGGTCAGTTTCTGACCTTGTTGTCACATGGCTTCCTTGTATGTCTCTGTCTTCACATGGCCATCTTCTTGTAAGGATGCCAGTCATACTAAAGTAGGGTAGCAGTGGTCCAGTATGACTTCAGCTTAACTAATTACCTCTGCAACAATTCTACTTCCAAATAAACACAAACTGAGGCACTAGGGGGTAGGACTTCATATGTATCGAGTTATATATGGGGGACACACAACTCAACTCATAAAAGGGATATGGTAAACATCATGCATTTAAGTTTTGAGGGCAATTCATAAGGCAGCATTTTTAGCGGAGGCAAAATAGTATTTACAAGCAAAGAAAGTGCATTAAACACATACGCATAGTTTAAAGAATTATAAAGCAAATATCCATGTAACCCCCATTCAGGTCATGAAAACAAACACTGTTACTACCAGAGAAGCCCACCGTGTGCCCCTCCATCAAAATCCTCCTCCAGGATCCATCCAGCATTCCACATTGCATTTAGTTGTCGTGTCTTCTTGTTTTCCCCAATCTATGATAGTTCCTCATTCTTTATCTTTCACGACCTTGATATTTTTGAAAAGTACTTTGCAGAATGTTCCTCAGCTTGGGTTTGTGTGAGGTTTCCCAATGATTAGGTTGGGGCTATATATTTTTTGGCAAGAGTCCCACAGAACTGTGTCCTCAGTGTCTCTCATCAGGTGGTCCATGCCATCCTCACCTTATTTGTCACTTAATGAAGGTGGTGTCCAGTTAGTTAGCTGTAAGCTGGTTATTCTCCTTTTGTAATAGTACCTTGTGGAGACACACTGAGATTCTACATATCCTTTTCTTGTCATGTTTGACCCAATACATTTAACCTTCGTTAATAATTTCCATCTTTATTGTGTCGTTTTGATGATTTTCTGCTTACATCATGCCTCCTGTCTCTACTAATTGGTATTCTAAAGAAAAACTACCCCTTCCCCCCATTTACACAATCATTCATCTATTCATGGGTATTTATTTTATTCCATGGTTTACAATCCATTGCTAGTATCAGTTGTTTTTCTCAAATTGTCCCAGATTTGACCATTGGGAGCAGCAACTTGGCTCCTGTGTCCTTTGACATGTGCCTCTCCTCCCCGCTCTCATCATTTTACGACCACTTTACTTTTTTGGCATCACAAGATGTTCCAGGCTCATTTTCTAATTTCCCTGCCCCAGTCCTGGAATCAATCGTTTCTCCAAGGAGCTCTAGTTCCCTTTATGAGAATGGTATTTAGAAACCCATATCTGAGCACTAGGTGTGCTTATTGCTACTGAGGTGTCTTTGCTTTTAGGTCCTCTCTGTAGACAAAGCAGGACACGTATGTGTGCATATTCACACACTCACCTACCTGTATTTCTCTACACATTTGTCCATATCAAAACCTCGAGTTCCTAACATCTCCATTCCAACCCAACACAAGGTTCTTTCGTGCTCTGTTCAACTTTTATTTGTAACTCCTTTGTCAATGAAGAGAACCTTTGCTTTCATTATTGATATTTCATGATCCATGATAGAGGGTGCCCCAAAAAAAGTATACACATTTTAAAAAAGGAAAAAAAACTATTAAAATTGTAATGCTCAATATATACCAACAAAAGATGAATACAAGTCATATGTATATATCTTTTTGGCACTCCCAGTATTTGCTCCGTCTTAATATGCAAAAGGTATTTCTAGAACGGCTAACCCATACCTCTTTACTAGAGTGTATTTGTGTTCATTTTGTCTTCAGCCTCACAGTATAGTCAAAATCCTGTTTCTCCAAGTTGCTGGTTGTATGCTGCTTTTTTTCCCTATCCCCTTCCGGTGTGGTAATGTCACTCATTTGTAATATAGGTAGGTTCATTCATTAGTTTCTTTTTTGAGTTCCCTGCATACCATGGTTGATTTTAATTATTTCTGGAGTATGTGAAATATCACTATAGTTGTGAGTCAGAGCTAAACAACAACGTATATATAGAGAGGTATCTCTCATCTCAAATACCCCATTTGCAATCTTACTTTCCACCCCATACCAACCCACTTCCTGCAGGTAACCTGCCATTAGTTTCTGGCTTATTCTTCCTGCTTCTTTTGCACAGAAGCAGATAATTGTACATGTATATTTTATTATTGCCTTCTTTATTACATGAAGGATAAACTGTAGACACTCTTGCCCTTAGCTTTTTTCAGTAACAATACAAGGTCAAACAATTAAGTTTGAGAACTCATCCTAGAAACAGTGCTACATACCTCACTGCTGAATATCACTACGGTCACCTTCAAAGCACTCCCTTTGGGAAGCTATGCACCGACGCCAGTGCCAAGTCCACCCTTCAAAGCAATTGTGAAACTCCCTTTCTGGAATGGCCATCAGAGCTGTTGTCATATTACCCTTGATGTCCTGAATGTCATCAAAATATCTTCCTTTCAATATTTCCTTTATCTTCGGGTAAAGAAAGAAGTCATGGGAGGCCAGATCAGGTGAGTAGGGAGGGTGTCTCAATACAGTGATTTGTTCACTGGCTAAAAACTCCCTCACAGACAGTGCCCTGTGAGCTGGTGCATTGTCGTGATGCAAGAGCCATGAATTGGTGAAAAGTTCAGGTCACTTTCATTTAACTTTTCCACGCAGCCTTTTCAGCACTTCCAAATAGTAAACTTGGTTCACTGTTTGTCCAGTTGGTCAAATTCATAATGAATAATCCCTCTGATATCAGAAAAGGTGAGCAGCATCGGTGCAGCAAGCTCGTGAACTTGTCAGAGCTCATAGATCCTGGAAATCATAACACCCGTCCACAGAGCTCTTCCGCATACTTCTCACAGCTGTGCGGGACTGCACTGCACAGACGTACCAGTTTATGACTAGGAGATTGCTCCTATGTATAGACATTCAGGTCATTTCCCATTATTTTGCAATTATAACAGTGCTGCAGTGAGCAACTTTGCATGTATGTGCATTTGCATTGTGGGAGGGTATCATCAGGCTCTTCTCCTAGAAGTGGGACAGCTGAGTCAACAGGTGTAAGTATATTTTGGTTTTATTGCCAAGTTCCTCTCCACAAAGGCAGTACTAGTTTGCACTTCCACCAGCAACATGAGTGTTTCACTAACACAACGTACTGTCATATGTTCATTACATTTCTTCTGTTCTCATAGGTGAGAAATGGTACCTGTTTTAATCTGGCATTTCTCTATTTGAATGTTAAAATTATTTTTCCGGGACATTTTAATCTTTTTTTTGGGTAAATTGTCTTTTTCCATTTTTCTATCCGATTTTTGGGCCTTTGTCTTTCAATTTTTAAGAGTTGGTCTCATGAATTTGTGAAGCTAATGAATACTGAATATGTACACTGGCATTTTAAAGTTTCCCATCATGACTTCAACCAATAAGTACCATTATCTAGAACAGGGGTCGGCAAACTTTTGAGACGGAAGAGCCAATCCTGTCCCTCACAACAATTTAAAAATTATTCGAGAGCCATAAAAAACAAACAAAATCACCATTATGTGAATAATATCCTTTAAACATTTTATAAATGAAACTATGATAGTTTTATTTTAATTTTCAATGTTACTTCAGAGCCACATGTACATACGCAAAGAGCCGCATGTGGCTCGCAAGCCGGTTTGCCGACTCCTGAACTAGAAAATACCAACGCAATAGGGGATGCTCTACTGTGAAGTTAGGTTCTATTTTCATTTGAACACCAAAGCACATGTAAACTCTAAAAAACACAGGTAGATATGTTAGTTTGTCTATTTGTATAGTCAAGTCTTATTATGCTACAGGGTTATCTTTTTGTATTATTTTTTTAGCTCATATTGTTAAACCCTATATACCAATCGTGTTGCTGAGCTTACATGGGCTTCACCACCTGAGTAAATCAATATTTAATGTGTTCCAAAGCCAGACATGTCATTTTTTTTGAGCAATTAGACACATTTTGGTACCATTTACATTCCTACTCTCTATTAGAATATAAATAGGGACTATTTTCCTGTTAACAGGGTATTTTAAAATAAAAAGTGAACTGTGTATGAAGATCCAGTTCAGCTCCTATATTGCTGAATTGTGTATCTACCTACATGCTACTCTTTCAAAAATTTGCTCGATTCAGTTGTCTTAAATTCAGAAGACAAACAGTAATACTGTCTTTATGAAGATAACTTCAGAAAGTTACATGTTGAGACATTAAAAGTTGTATTTATTTCTTTAGTGACTGATTTTCTAACTCTTAAAACATGTCCATATGATGCTACAAAACTGATCAAAGATTAAAGACTCAATTACAGTATTAAAGATTCAATTACAGGTGCCAATATTACATTATTTGTCATAGGGATAAAATGAGCAAAGAGTAGAAAGCAGACAGTAACATTGTCAACTGATGTAAGTAGATGATATTTGGAGAGAAAGTGGTAATGAACTCACTCACTGCTCACTTCGCAGCCCAAGCCTGAGGCAGGTTCAAAGTTGCGGTGGTAGGAGCTGTATTTGAAGGCTCCATCTTTTCTTACGTTATTAAAAGACATGTGCTGGTCTGTTGTTTGTTTTTGCCATTAGTTGCTTTTCTTATACTTGGCTTACAAAAGAATTAGGCGAGACAGCATGGAGAAAAAACACATTAAACTTCTGGAAAAGTTAAGAGCAATTTAAAAATAACAGTTTCCAAAGAATCATCCTCTTCTTGGTACAGACTAGAACGAATCCTAGGTGCCTTAACCTTTTTGACTCATCACTACAGAGAGATCAATGAAATTGATATGACCACTTTAAGTGAAAAAAAAAGTTTATAACAGAAATACTCAAGAAACTCCGTTTCCTCTCCCTTTTCCCTCTGCCCTCCAGGAGCTAGTTAAGACAAAACTAAGATGGCATTAGAAGGCTTCCCACAAGAGTAAAGTTAAAACTTTAACAGAGTATTGCTGAATATTCAGGGAAGACCTGTAGAAAGTTGGTCAGTGAGTGAATTAAAAGTAGTCTCATACTTAGTACTTTCTTACAAAGCCTTCTTATAGTTTAAATGTGCTTTTGTGCTGGTTGAGAAGTAGAAAATATTGCTTACATCATAACAAAATGAATTTCAATGTTGTGAAAAGTTTTATCTCCTTTTGGCAAAATTTTTAGTAAGTGTTAAACATTCTGACCCATTAAAAATATGCTTAAATACATGTAAAAGCTGTGGATGGACTAAAAATATACAAAATGATGTGGTCATAATAAAAAAAAAAGAACACTTTTATACATAGGATTTTATTTTGCACTGCTATAACAATTTCATTATAAGACCAAGGGAGAAAAAGAAGGGGAAAAAAAGGATAAAACCACCACACTGAGTAAATTACTAAAGCTTTTCTACTTTTTAACAGGATTTTCCATCTGGTAGATTTATTGTCATATCCCCTTCAAAACAGACAAGATGCTTACCATATTTTAAAGATTATAGGTTACCACTGAAAGGAAGTTTTACACAGTCACTGTACATCAAGGTTGAAAAACTGTCCTGCATGAAAAATATACTTAGAAATCATGTGAATAAAAGAAAAAGAAAACATTATTGTGTCTAAGAAAAAATTAACGTCCTCATAATGTGCCATGTGAATGTGGACATTCGTTCTTGGGGTCGCTTAGGTGTACGGAGTGCTTGCCTCTGCCCATTGCACTCATTATACTGTTTTTATCCAACAGTATTCATTAAGGCAAACAGATCCTTTTCTGAAGAGGTCTTAAAGAAATTGTGGACAAATAGCAAACTTTTGGCATTAAAACAGGTTAACACATACATCGCCTTTAGTAATGTACATTAAGCATATTTTTCTTGGACTAGTGACAAGAAAAGATGAACATGCTAGCTAACAATGTCAAAAAGTTTAAAATTCAGTGTCCAAGCAATTCCTAACAATGCTTCGGTAGCTTTAAGCTCTAAACAGGATAGAATTTATGCAAATGCATTAATGAATTCAAGCTTGGCAAATTACACCCAAGCAGGTTATTAAACTATATATACAGAAAGTAAATGATAAATACAGAATGAAAAGAGTCCTTCTGCTTTTTCTTATAGCCTTGAAAATCGACCAACTTTTTGAGGACAGTTCTGTTAATATTAAACATTAGGTGTTGGGAAACCTAACGACACAAACTGATTGAAAATACTCAAGATGACTCTGTAGTGTTTAATACAATTCAGTTCGTGGGTTGCACAAGACAACATTTAACAAAAATAATCACATCAATTGACCTAGAAATCAAATGCAAATAGGTATGAATACAATCTCCAAAATCTGTCTTTTTTAAGTGAACATTAACCATTTATTCAAAGTTATACAAGAATTTGAAAGAGTAAAGTCTTCTGTGACATAAAGCCATTTGGAATAGTTTCATGTCTCAGCTGAGCAGGGGGGGAAGGAAACGGCGGGCAGGCCCCACGTGGGCGGCGAGGCAGGAAGGCGGACTCAACAGCAGCCTCCCCCCGCCTGCTGCCCTCCCTGACTGCCTGCATGTGTGGCGTTCGTAGCAGCATGCTGAGGGCCAATTTTAATGCCATTTGCCTGAAATGAAAAAGAGGAGGAGAATAAACGGAACTGGATCCGATAAAAATCCATTTAATTCTTAATGATGCAATTTTACCAAACAACTCAGGAAAATACATAGGTTAAGCAGATTTTTGCAACAATTAAAACAATCTCTTAGGGGATGTTTCTTCCTTTTAAAAACAATGCTGTGCAAATATCTCTGAACATAATTCTTTATCATACCAGGTACCGGGTAAACAGAAACTGGACAGTGCTGTTTTTCAAGGAATTCTCACAACGGAGAAAATGTTTAAAACAATTCTTGCAAGTCATCTTTAAAGGATAAAGTGCGTTAACGCCTATGCTGCTCTAATACGACGTAAAATCTTTTCTGTAGATAGCATTTCTCTTCCATGTTGAATCAGCTGTACAGGCTAAGGGCATATGAGTGTTCTGTGTCATCAATAATTTCTATGATCCCCAAAGACATGGCAGCTTGCCAAGAACCCACACACAGAGCAGTTCTTTCATTCATCAAACTCACACTTATGTCTTAACCCTCACTCCCTCAAGTGGATTTTACCTAAAAATACAACACTTTGAGAAAAGTAATACAGTAGCTTCAGAAATTAAGCTCTTAAGGAAACTTTACGTCACAGTAAATCTCAGATTTATAGCGCTTGGCAGTTGTTCTGCAACAGTAGTAGCCTTGGGGTTTCTGGCACTAGCTCAGTATTGACAGCAGCTGATGTGGTTTCTTTTCGCTCTTTTGACTCCTCTTTAATAAAAAGCATGCCCTATGGCTCATTGGTTTTGCCCCCTCTGGGCTGGTAGCAACTTCTTGAGGAATCAAGGAGTCAGACTTGGCACGAGGCCAAATAAATCGCATGGCCCGTTGGCTCCTGACAGCACATTACAATCAAAGCTGCAGCAGGCACAGTAAAGCAGTCAGCTACTACATGAAGCCAGACAGAAACAATGAATCTGCCCTTTTAAATCGAGGCCCAATTACTGTTCAATTTATACGGCATTAGTCTCTGAGTGGTGTCGCCTTTAAATGAACTCAAGATCTACTGCCAGATAAGCCCAGAAGATAGGATTTAGATACCATAATGCTCCAAATGAAAACAAATGAGAAAACCAAAGACTTTTTGGACAACTTAAGCAAACTGTTGTTTAGTTTTGGCAAAGAATACTGAAGCAAATAATAAAGAGCCTCGTTTATAACAGGCCAAGAGACATGCGCGGATGGTTACCTAACACGAGGCTTCCTAACAGCAACCGGGGGAGGAATAAGAGTTTCTCTCTTGGACGCAAAAGTCGTAATATAGAATGGCAAAAATTTGTATGTAACAGTAAATAATATGCCATATCCACATAAACATTCCGAAATAAATAAGGATAAGTGCAAAGTGGGGATTTAGGTCAAAATGATGAGATTTGGTAAACGGTGAATTATATACTTCAAAGCTTTACACTTTTATCCTAATCATGTTGATCAAAACTGGCTCAAAATAATTTTACGAGCAAAACAAAACAAAATCAAGAAAAACAAACCAGTGCCAACTGCTAATTACATATATTAATTTAGTTTCCCGAAAATATGCTATATGCTATACTAGAAATAATTTCCAAATTGGGTATTTCCCACTTTCATACCAGACAACAGGGAGAGCACCTTGCATTAGTAACATGGCACATGCATTTGGACACTAGAAAATTATTCCCCAAAGTAGATGACACCATATGGATGTGTGGATGAAAATGGATTTTCTTCTCTCTTTGGGGGGGTTTATATTATTTTGCATTGCTTGCAGTAAATGGATAGGGTCCCTTACTTTAATCTGTTTGAACAGATAGTGATGTTCTATTACAACATAAACATTTAACTGTCATGACATACGACGAATTTTCAGTTAGATGATTATAAACTAATGTGTTCATGAACACCATAGATCCATTTTAGAAATTCTAAAGAAATATAAAATCATGAATCTAAGTAGCAATTAAAACTCAGTTCTAAATTAGTATTAGCCAATAATAGTTATATGTCTATACCTCATTATTAATGTCAAAGACTCCTTCTTGGATTTTTTCATAAATTTCTTTTGCTGTATTAATAAATGCCTGAAACATAAAGGTAGAGAGAAATTGGTTCAAATTATTTAAAACCACAACAGTAAAAGAACATTATATAAAAGCTCTATAGAACATCATAACATTCAACATAAGAAAAATCAACCAATGTAATATATCATATTAACAGAATAAAGGACAAAGCCACATGATCATTTCGAAAGATGCAGAAAAAGCATTTGACAAAATCCAACAACTTTTCATGATAAAAACACCCAAAGCAGGACTAGAAGGGAACTTCCTCAACCTGATAAACAGCGTCTAAGAAAAACCCACAGCCAACCTCATAGCCAGTGGTGAAGACTGACAGCTTCCCCCTAAGGTCAAGGACAGGGCAAAGACGGCATGTTCATTAGCATTACTGGCAGCAACATCCAAAAAGTGGAAACACAAATGTTTGTCAGCTGATGAATGAAAACCACAATGAAGACTAACCATACAATGGAATATTCCTCAGCCATAAAAAGATGAAGTTGTGATTCATGCTACAATGTGGATGAACCATGAAAACAGTATACCAAGTAAAAAAAAGTCAGATATGAAGGACCACATATATAGTATGATTCCATTCATATGAAACGTTAGAGGAGGTCACTCCACAGAGAGAAACATTAGATCACTGGCTGTCAGGCAGTAAGGGAAGCAGGAGAATGGAGTACGAATGCTAATGAGTGTGGGGTTTGTAATGCGGTGACAAAAGTGTTCTAGAGTTAAGACAGTGATAAAGTTGCACAACTTTGTGAATATACTAAATCCCACTGAATTGTACTCTTTAAAAGGATAAATTTTATGGTATGTGAATTATATCTCAAAAGAAAAATTTATGACCGGGGGTGGGGGGGATAGGGGGGTGGGTGGGTGTTACCAAAATGTGAGAACAGCACGCATGAGAAAAACCTGTCAACTAGATCAACTGCATTATTACTTTTGCCAGGACAATGTATTACTTAAAATACAGTTCAAGAGGGAAAAAAACAGGATGCTTATGATAAAGAGACAAAAAGGCAGCTCAACTTCTATGCCATTAAGTTTCACCCTTTTCCCATATAGCATACTACTAAATTGACCAAAAATTAGTGTCAGAACACTGTAACCAAATTAAGCCTCTAAATACTGAAATTAATTCACATTCTACATTTATGTAAAATATTTTAAAAATTTACGTAAATGTTGCCAGTGCTACAGAAAGTGTTTCTAAACTATCTGATTTGAGAGATCACAGATAATAGTATCAATATTACAAGTCAGGTCCCTTTTAATTAGCATTCTATGAAAATTCATAAAGAAATCTATTCTTTACTATCACTGATACAGACTTAACTCAAAATTTGAAAAGTAAACAGGCTCATGGAGAGGAACAAATCATACCTTTCCTTTTTTCTGCACTGGAAACATTTGACTGCTGAACTTGCCACCAGAGCTTTTGTTTCCTAATTAACAGGACTGATATGTTTTCACCTTTAAAGGCCTTACAGCTCCCCAGAGTAATCAATCTACTGCAGCTCAATTACTGCACCAAGAACACACCAGTCAGTGAAGGAGCACAGAGATATGAATATGCATAAATTCTAAGTGGCTGATCGAATCATCAGAGAGGGTCATGAGAATTTGCAGCAAAATAATGAGAAGAATTAATCACTGCAGATTCACAAGGCACTTCGGAAGTGAGTGTGCTTTTCACATGTGTGCTGGAGTTAACGTGAAGGAGAAAATGGGCTCCCAGCCAACTACGAATTGATTTACATTCCTCAAAATTGAAGTTATCCTGATAAATAAGGAAAAATTTAACTTTATTTACAATAACATGTCAATTATGATGATGGCCTTAGAAACCAGGCTAACCAAATATTTAAGTCAACATATTCATAAATTCACACTGTTGGAATTCCTTATAAGGACACCCACTTATATACATTTCACCAGACCGTTAGAACTACAAGGTCCCATAAGTGAGTTACAACTTCATATAAACATTTACATTATAAAAGTCATTATTAAATGTGTCAATTTATGTAAATAGGCTTTTCAACAATCTTTTTAATTAAAAAAATTTAAAGTGATGAATCACTTTAAAAACTGGTTTAAGAAAGCTATGCTATATAAAATTTTCCAAGTCACTACTAATTTTATTACCTAAACAGTCCTTAGTACTTTATTAAGCACCTTTAAGAATAGTTGTAAACAATAGACTTAAGATATATTTTATATCTGAAAAATATGCAAAGAATTTCATTACAATTGAAATATAACAAATAGTTACATTTTATTTTATAATTCCCACCATCCCAATGAAATAGTCTTTGGACAATGCTACATTTACTCGTAATCCAACTCTGGTTACATATTAGAGACACTGAAATGAAGCATTTCCCACTTTCTGAGCATATTATAGAGAGGATATATATTTAAATGGATTTTATCTACATCATAGCAAAAAGTTAATATTTAAGATATATTAAGAAGTGATTAACTAGTGATCAATTTTAATGAGTACTCAGAGTTTAAAACCCAACGTGACAAATGTAGACATTAGTATACCTGTGTTAGAAGTGTGAATATGGACTGGAAATTGTCCAGTTCGCAAATATAATGAACATTAACCAAATACTATTAAGGCTTATTAGAGATCAAATGAAACTTCTAAGATAAGAGCGTTGGGTGTTACAGACAATATTTGTCCACTAAAGTTGCAAAGCATCTCAAGAACTTGGAAATACAAGAGATAACATATCTGTTGCAATAACTGGCTAGAATTTTCTTAAACTGCTGCTTTCACTCTAGTCAGTAAAAATCAAGCCACATATATATTCTTCAAGGTAGAGATGTAACATTCTGCAATTTCTCTAGAACACACACAGAATGAGGAAATTAGCAGTAAGTTAACTAAACAGATACCACAAAGGCTTTACACTAAAGCTCATGCTTTACTCCAGTCTTAACTTGAAATTCTTTCCAATTTTAGACATAATTTAAACCAGTTTTACTTTTTCAATTTCCCAAGCTATAGAAGCCAGTTCTGAGGAGGGGGAAGGAGAAAGCAAGTGGGTATGAGGGTGCGTCTGTGCGTATTGGGGGAAGAGACACTGGGGACCAGCACGCACATGGCAGCAGTGACGTGTGCAGGCAGGCTCCTGAGGGCAGAATACAAGCCTTAATGATGGCGGTCCCAGTCATCCAGGAAAGGGGCTCAGTATTTGCCGTTTAACATAAGCAATAGAAAATACGGTTTTGAAAGCTGTCATCATTATTCTTACAAGTTTTGATGTGTTTATCAAGGTAAGATTTTGTAACCTGAGAAATTATCTGCAATACTTCCTTCCTTAATATCAGAAAAATGAAGCAAGCTAACAGCATACTTAGAGAAAAATTTTAACATTAGTTAATGCAATACTTTTTTTCTTTTTTTAAAAGATTTTTTTGGGAATTGGGGGAGGGGAGCAGGTAAGTTGTTGTCCTTTTGTCCTTCAGTCTAGTTGTGGAGGATGTTGCTTCACTGGCCCATGTTGGTATTATCATTGCGTTCTTCCTGGGTGAGGCTGTCGCTCGCTGGCCATTGGACGGCCGCTCACAGCAGCTCATGAAAGCGCAGGCCAGCTGCCAGCTAGCCCTGCTGCAGTGATGCCGTCGCCGGTGACTCACAGCAGCCCATCTCCAGGTTGAGCTGTTGTTTACCATCTTAGCTGTAGAGGGCGCAGCATCACTGGCCCACATGTGGGATCCCAACTGGGGCCCTCCTGCTCAGAGCTGGTGTCCTAAGGCAACTCCTAATCAACGTGCCACTCGGCTGGCCCAATGCAATACTTTCAGAACAAGACATCATAAAGATAATTGCAGGTTTTGTGACACGTAAGTTAGAACTACAACTGAGAACATTCATATATATCCCAAATTTAACCTACAGTCAATCCAAATATCAATAGGTTATAGACTAGGAAAAAAAGTATTTGCTGAGAAACCGATGTCAAAGGATTGCATTATCAGCACCGAAACAAACAATATACAGGTAGGTCCATGATCATGCAGTGTAAACAGATTTCCCTGCAGCCAACTTAACTTGGCGAGCCTCTGGCCCCCCATGCCGGGCTCTACTCCAATGTGGGAAGCCGGACTCCCTTCATCTTGCCATTAGCTGTCCCCCTTTGCCCTGCTTTGATTAATTGCTATGTTCAGTCCTTTACTTTCATTAGCCATTAATTGCCTTCCACCTCAGACACTCATCTTTCAACCCTTGGCAGTAGTTAGTGATTTGAATGGTCCTGATAATATGTAAACTTCAGTAAAATTTCAGGGACTTCTATAGCACAAATTAAAATAAACATTACAACAGAGAACTATAAATGCATTATGATTCAAATAACTATTCAGCGAAACACACAAGCCGATGTGTATCCTACCTATATCATTTGTCATTTGCTCGAAGCCTACCAGATTCGGCACGGCTCTAGGTACCACAGGAAATACAGGGAAGAGCAGCATATAGTTCCTACTGCTGCCGACTAAACAGTTTAGCTGGGCGACTCTAAGCACACGGCTGAAACCTCTTTTGAAGATGCAGGAAAAATAAACTTTCTGCACTGACTGACAAGGAGAGAATGTGTGCAGGGCAGCTGAGGCAGGTCCAGCTGCGGACCATGGACAGTGGGCTCAGGGACAGCTGATGACAAAGCAGAGGCAAAGGGGGGCACAGAATACAATTTTATTTTATTATGGTTTAACAGTTTTGAAGGCAGAATACCGAAAATAAATTCTGTCTACAACAGACTAAAATGTAAATTATTTCCTTATGTAACATGCTGCCACCTGGTGGCAAGATAAAAATTAGAGCATCTGTTAGGTAAGAAAAACAAAGTACCTTAGTTTTATTTAAACATTTTGAACCGATGCTAGAGAAAGTACCAACAAAGTACCGTGTAAAGTAAGTACTCCTTAGTTTCTTCTTAGAACTGAGAAACACGAGGTAAGTAGAATGCTGTTTAATTTCTTCTCAATTG